AGAGAGAGAGAGAGAGAGAGAGAGAGAGAGATTCGGATAGAATCCAGCGCAATGAATACGCTCTCACGTTTACAAAATGCAACTGTTGCTAGATCAGGCCATCTGTTCCACCCAGATCTGTCGATAACCCTATATCCAACACGAATAATACAATATAACTGTAAATGAGCTTCTCACGCTGTGTGCTTGCCTATGATAGTCATTGACACGGGATAATATATATGCGCAACTCTCGAGGTGTACGAATAAAAGTAAAAGTAATGTAAAAGTGATCTGTGGCTAAGTCGATGCGAACTCTTCACAATGCCGGGTTCGATCCCAGCCTTGCATTGGTTTCGACAGAGGTATCAAGAAAGCCGACCGTCCAGAGGCAATGGCAAACTACTGGACGTAAATTTGCCTAGAAAAACCACACAAAAGCTAGGGGTTGTTGGGGTTGGTTCTGCAACGTCCTGTAAAGGATACGCAACTAACCAGTGTAAAAGTAAGTAAAGTTAAATTATAAGTAAAGTACAATAAGGAAAGTACAGTAAAGTACCGAAAACATACTTTTAAATAGAAGTAATGTAAAAGTAAGTATAGGTAAATTAAAAATAAAGTAAAGTAAGGAAAGAACAGTAAAAGTACGAAAAAAAGTAACAGGAAAGTGACAGTAAAGAAAAAGTACAGTAAAGAAAAAGTACAGCAACAGTTATAGTAACAAACAGTACGGTTCAATTACAGTAAAATAAAAGTAAAATAAAAATGCAGTAAAGCAAATCAAAACTCAGGTAGAATAAAGGTAAGGTAAAATAACAGATAATAATAAAGTCAGAATAAAGATGTACATGTAGGGCTTGTAGTTAAAGGGGAATAGAAATCTGCCGTCCATGAATTGGCACCTCTCCGTCTTTCGAGATAGTTGTGTTTCATGCCAGGCTCAAGAACGAAAATAATATTAACATCAACGAATTCATCTTTGCTGTTGACGAGCCCTTGATTGCAGATACAGCCTTGAATTTCCAACAGCATCTCACGTCCATGAATGAAGAATGTAAATCAAATAACTTGAGAATCAACATCGAAAAGACAGAAGTAATGTCAATAGGAAGCAAGAAGCAGGATTTAAACATAGCATGAGAGCTTACATATATTAAGTAAACAGGCTTCTGAATTTTAATATCTTGGAACAACATTCACTGAAGATGGTAAATTAGACGAAGAAATTGACATTCGATGCAGTAAAGCAAGCTAGCCGCCCCACCCCCCTACCACCCTCCCCCTCTTTTACAGCACTTCCCAATCAGCACAAAGAAACAACTCATGCAAAGCATATTCATTCCCAACCTATACTACCAGTGCCAGACATGGTCACTCACAAAGAAAATTAGTAACCATGGAAATAAGGTGTCTGAGAAAGACTGTAGGGGTGACCAGAAGAGATAAAATCTGGAATGAGGTCATACAAGATAAAGTCGGCACAGCACCAAATCTAAATTACATAGAAAGACAGCAAATCAAATGGTTATCCCACTTGGAGAGAATGCCTTATGATGCTATACCATTCAAGGCATATACCAAAAGAGGAGAGGGACGTAGAGCAAGAGGTAGACCAAGAACAACATGGAAGGATAACATCAGAGAAACTCTACAGTACCACGATGTGTCTGTGGTCGAAGCAGCCAGAAAAGCACGAAGCAGGACCTTATATCTCCCTCGACACCCGAAGCGGTAAAAGAGGACCTAAAGAACCGTTTCATTGCTCCACAGCAAGTCGAAGAAAAAAAGGGGGTAGGGGTCAGAGAAGAACCTGGAATGACAACATGAAGAATTTGCCAGGACTAAGTTATTATACACTTGTTTATCAAGCATGTGACAGAAACAGGTGACAAGCTTTTTATATACTAATGCCTCCATCGATACACCTTCACGACCCTCACAGGTCAATGGTTTTGTTATGTTATGTTATTATTTTGGTCACATTCGCCGCAGAGCCTCATTTGATCTGTAACATTTTGAGCTGGCTCCGTATACCATAGATTTCCCATCCATTACCTTCTTATCTTAAACACTATGTGGTTGAACTGTAAGCCCAGTATATCTATCACAGGACGCAGAAATCGGATCTTTACGGTTACCTTACGTAAGCCACCAACGCCTTGAGGTCTGTAAAGGGGTTCTTTACTTTATATATTACTTACTTTCTTCACACGCAAATCGAGCGGTACACTCTTAGATTTGTGTCCACATTCTACTGAAGGGTTGTTTGCACATGGCGTGCGTGTGTATTCAGTGCATGCGGTTAAGTTGGGTGAAACGTGCACCGGATATGTCTGCCTGTGTTATTTTAGTTTAAATTAACTTTTGCTTTATGCGTCAACTTTCTCGTCTGTTTCTTATTCTTCTCCTCCTCCGTCTCATCCCCTCCTCCTTCTCTTATTCTTCCTCTCATCCACATCCCTTCTTTTTTCTTTTCTTCATTCTCTTTTTCATTCTCTTCATCATCTTCTTTTTCTTATTATTATTCGTTTTCTTCTCCTGCTGTAATAACTACTGCTGCCGCTGCTGCTACTACTGTTACTACTTTCTCCTCGCTCTCCTGCTACTTCTGCTTCCCCTCTTCCACAAACTCAGCACAAGTCTTTCATGATTGGCTGGATTTTATAGCCGCGGTTTCTGCTGGATGAAGTAGCCATCTCAGGTTAGTCATCGCAATCATCCCTTACGTCATTCATGCTAAATAACAGTGTCCCTATTCTTTGCTTCCCAAATAAATCACAGTGACGCTGAACAATTATAATCCATTGTTTCCTTTGTAGTAGTCCTTTATACAACAATATGTTGTTCAACTCATCCGGGTTATAAAGGGGATATCTAGAAGTTTCTTTTCTGTGTTGGTATTAAATATTTATGCCAATGGGTTACCTTTAGGTTTTTTAATTTTATATAACTTATGTGTTAAATACATAATCTATTATTAAAGAAAGTAAATGTAAATATCTCAAACAATGAGGCATTTCACAATATAAAAAATATTCTGTGCAACTTATCTTTGTCAGTTTGGTGATCTTCTTTTTCTTCGAGGTCGGAGTGCATCTACCTGGGAGGCAAGAAACCAGCAGTCTGCATACAAATTAGTCAGATTTGTAAAACGGATGTACACTCATGTTCTGGGACAGGACTGCAGTTCAAAAGTGGATTAACAGCCAAAACTTTCCGCCAGAGTTTACAGCTGGTGAACGCAAAGAAGATAGAAGAAGTTAGGCAAGAAACGAGTTCTTAAAAAGCTGGTCTTAGAGCTGGTCCTGATATACGGTAGTGAATCACAGACAGTTGATCGATACGTGAGAAAGTATGTGAAAGCAGTAGAATGTGGTTTTGTACATGTATGCTGAGAACAGCCTTGACAGATGAAAAGAGTAATAAAGACGTTTTGAAAGAAAGTGAATTAATTGCTCGCATCATAAAAAGACAATCTACATTCTTTGGTCGGCTCTGTGGCTAAGTCGATGTGAACGCTTCGTAATACCGGGATGCCGGGTTCGATCCCAGCTGCGGGCCGTGCGCCTTGCGTTGGTTTCAACAGTAATATCAAGAAAGCCGACCGCACAGAAAGCAATGGCAAACTACTATACGTAAATTTGCCTAGAAAAACCACACAACAGCCAGGGGCTGTTGGGGTTGGTTCTGCAACATTTTTTGGTCATGTGATAAGAGGGCGAAAACTGGAATGCATCGTGACAGTAGGAAAGTTGGAGGAGAGGCAGCGGGAGACCGGGAGAAAAGATGCTGGACAGTCTGACATCATGGCATGGAAGATCATCTTTGTCAGAGTTGATTGAAATGTAACAGCCTGGAGAACGACCAAAGACTACAGTTCAGCAGCTTAAAGATCTTGATTTAGTCTGGTTTAAAAATGACCAAGGCGCAACATAATTTTAGTCTTAGACAGTAAGATAGGGAAAGTCTGGCCACTGGGTTTATCGGCCGATTGACTGATTATTGGCCTCCTCGGTATGGTCAGGCTCCCTGTCTGCTGTTGTTGACTGCACTTGGTCTCAACGCACAGGTGTGTCAGATTGGACCGGCTGAGCGACGCTAGACTGGCTCAAGATCATGGTACGTTTTAATCGGTTAGGTAATGTTAGATTTGATTTCCATTGTGCATCTTTGCTAGGAGATAGTTTTATGGTAGGTCGCTATAGGGGATTTATCGGTTGATGGCATATTGAAGCTTAACGCACATGTTAAAAATGTTTCGGTTTTTGCCATGGTTGAGGTAATCTCGCTAAGCGTATGGCGTCATCATCTTTTATTGTTAGCTGGAGATGATGACGCTTTAGACTCTGGTCGAGCACGTTGGTTGTTATTAATGTCGTTATTTGTGTTAAGTAAAATAAACAGATGTTCAATGTAGTAATCATAGTTCCAGTTGTTTTCCGTTCAGCATAAGACTTGTAGTTGGTGTGCCTAGTTTAGTTTATTTGTTACTTGGCTGATCTAGACTTTATACAGAAGCTTTCTTGTCAGGGTGAGATATTTTTTATCTCACCCCCGCCTTAACGAACTTTTTAAATTTTTTTTCTTGTTACTGAGGCAGCTTATGGTTGGGTTTTGGCTGCCACTCGCCACGTGACATTGTTTAGAGCTCTTGTAAGTTCGGAGTCGAGGAGATTTCAAGGAGTAGATTTCCATATTATCCTTTATAGTTATCCCTTCTCTTTTCCCCATTACGAGATACCTCCCCCCGCCCCCCCCCCTTTGTTTTGCTTTCTAGTACAGAAAGTACACGGGACAAGACTGTCAGCGCCACACAGCATGGACTCTTAGAAGAAGACCTAGAGCTTCATATCCCTAGCATATTTTCTGCTGTCATAATTATTTAAATCTTTTTGCAGCGGGTTGTGTATTTATTAGAAAGGAATCCTTTCAGATTGTGTCTTTATTATAAAAAAAATAATCCCTTATGTCCTAATTTGTGCACTACTGACTGTGTCTTTAATTGTGCCATTCTAACGCAGGTTTTAAAAGGAGAGCAGTTCATCGACTTCTACATCAGGGACCCTCAATGGCAGGTCCTGGAATATCAAAACTATAAATCCAGCGGACAGTACAGCGTGGAGAGTCCTGAAGATGGTAGGTAGGCTTGTTTGTACTGGTATTTTGTGCTCCTTGCATGTCTGCTGACCTTCACTCCCCTCGCATCGCCATTTGAGCACATGAAAGCAGAGGAAATACGGTGCCTAGCTTGCAGATTTCTTCTTCGAGTTCGCCGACGGAAACTCCTGCGAAAAGTTATGGTTGTTCGTCCACCTTTGGACTCTCGTCTTATTCCAGAACTTAGTTGAGTGCACATCCGTTTTACAGGTCTGACTTATTTGTATGCATACTGTTGGTTCATTGTCTGTCAGGCAAATGCACGCTGACTTCAAGGAAACACCCCAATTAGCCTAATCTTGGATTTGCTTGTATATGGGAGCAGTGGGTGAAATCTTGTTATTCACACAGCGCGTCCTGGAACCCACAGAGGGGAAGAGTAAAAAAAAAAGGGGGGGGGGGGAGATGGGGTATCTTGCAGGTTTGATACTGATGTAATAGCTCTAAAATCTATAAAATTCCTACAGAATAGCATAGTGTAATATGGGACTGTGGAGAGAGACCGAAACATATGGGATGAAAAAACTGATGAATCGAGGTGGATTCTGTCGATTCTTACTGTTACATTAATTTCCTATGAAATAGGTTTCAAATGGTGGAAGCAGGGAGACTTCCAGCTCATATGTGTTTGTCAAGCTCAATGTGTGATCTATCATTGAGTGCCTCGTATAGCTCTCTGAGTGTGTGCGCGCGCGTGTGTGTGTGTGCGTATGTGTGAGCGTGCGCGCGTATGTATGTGCGTGCTCTCGCGTGTGTGTATGTGTGCGTGTGTTGTGCGCGCATGCATGTATTTATGTGTGTGGGAGAGAAAGACACTATCATAATCATCATGTAGCAGGTCCTTTGCAGAACGTCGCTCTCATCGCAGTCTGCTTGAAAGAAGCTCAGTCTCTTGCCAGTTCTCCCGCCTCATGTACTTTCATACTCAAGGCGTCACTTATACCCATCTTCCTGTCGGTCGGCCCCTTCCCCTTCTTCCTGGTACCATGCTTTCTGCTATAATTTTTTCTAATCCGTCGTGGCGCTTGATATGACTAAAATATTTTAGCTTCCGCCGTGATGAGTTTCTTGGGATAGTAATGTGGTAGTTTCCCGTTGCTTTCCACATCCACATGATTTTAGACTATGTCCTCAGCCTTCAGCAACCTTTTCGATTGCTAGGGCAAGTGAATGCCCTCCTCTATGATGCTCCTGCTAACAGCAGAGGGCACCCCAGAGGTGTCCACTTATCCCGGCGGATACTCGGTCCCTATAGCTGCGTTGGCCACACCGCAGTGTGTTTACCGTCCTCTACCGCAGATGGCGTTTTCCCATCACCGAGTCTTGAGACCAGAATGGCATTTCCCAAACTCTCCAGTACTTTCAAAAGACGAAAGACACTATACAACAATTAAAAACAAAGATAAATTTACAACTGTATGAGTGTGCATGTATTTGTGTGCATGTATTTGTGTGTATGTATTTGTGTGTATGTGTTATGCTAACAGTTAAAACAAAATTAAACACAAATATTTGTATATGTGTGTGTGTGTGTGTATTTTACACTGATTACAGTGTTTTAAAAAGCAAAAATTTAAAGGTGTGTGTGTGTGATGCTGACAGTTTAAACACAATTAAGTGTATATTTATGAATGTGTGTGGTGTTTAGAACTAGCAATTGAAGCAAAATAAAATTTACTGATAACAGTAGTTTTTTTTTAAACTGGAAATATGTAAAGTTGTGCGTGTATGTGTGTCTGTGTGTGCTAAGCTGACAAACAAAATGATATATATATATATATATATATATATATATATATATATATATATATATATATATATATATATATATATATATATATATATATATATATATGAACTAAGCAAGCTCCAGTGGACCAAGAGGTTAGGTAAAGTCGCTGGCGTTGGATAGGACACACATTGAGAAAACCGGATCATCTCGATGCAGAATACTGTTGGCAAACTTTTGGAAAAAATTGTCGCACAACGATTGACCACCTACTTGGAACTACATGATAAGTTTCCACCAACACTTGGAGGGTACAGGTTAAATAAAGAGACATGGTTCAATGCTGCAGTTTTCGCCTACGATGTGTACGAGGGATTTCAGATTAAAGAAGAGACATGTGCGGCAGTATTGGACTTAGAAGATGCCTACAATAAAGTACCATATGATTATTTAATGCAATTACTGCTTAAACTAGAAGTTAATCCTATTCTGATCCGCTGGATTGCTGCGGTCCTGTTCCAGAGAAAGATTGTACTAAGATGTGGTAGCTGGTCCTCAGAACCGCAAACGATATGTCCAGGTTTGCCACAGGGATCACCGCTATCACCAGTCTCAATCAACGTTTATACGGTGATGATCACTGAGCAGCAGTTGAATGGAAAGGGAAGGACTTTGTCATTTGCTGATGACATTTTGATTTATCGACGAGGGCGTGATAGACAGGAGATCGCCAGCACTATGCACAAAGAACTCGATCGAATTGCCGCCTGGTGTGATGGTTCCAATGCCTATGTCAATCCTTCGAAGGCATCAGTGTCATGGTTCTCTTTGAACAATCACATTGTCAAGTCGGACTTACCAGAAGTGAAAATGCGTGATAATGTATTGATCAGAACCAACGTTATGACGTTTCTCGGGGTGAGGTTCGATCGCAGCTTGTCATTCAGGGAACACGTTGACCATGTGATAACAAAAGCACGCAAAGGTCTATCTGCAATGAGGATTATGGCTGCTTCCAATATTGAGCAAAGACTACTAATACTTCTATTCTACGGTCTGGTCCTTTCCCCCATTGAATACGCTCTGGCCATCCTCACTGTCATTGCTACCCAAATTGAACGACTCGAAAAGGTGCAAAATGAAGCCATGCGCATTATTTTGGGATGTACAAGAGACACATCCTGTGGAGCAATGAGGTATCTACTTGACTTTCCAACAATGAACCAAAGGATCAGGATGTGGAGGGCTGGGGCATATCTCAAAATATGTGCTGATAAGAAACACCCACTGCATCAAGCGCTTTTTAGTGAAAAGGGCGACAGACTGAAGAGGGGGAAATCGTGGCTAGGTCGGGCAGAAGATGTTATTAGGCAAATATGCAGCCTAACCGACATCATACCTGGTGCAGAATGGATACCTGTGCCTTAGGCGTTTATTTGTACATTTTCCTGTATTGTCACACTCAACAGGCGATGTAGAGAAGATAATCCTGTTGCTATTAATGCAGAGGTCAACACTCTCATCGGTGAAAATTCAGACGAAGCAGATGCAATAATCTGTACAGACGGATCCGTTATACGCCAAAGAAGAAGCGCATGGGCATTTACAGCACGCTCAGCGGGCAGAACAGTCAAAGAAGCCAACGGCGCCTTCTCCATGACAACCAGCAGCATGACGATGGAGGTGATGGCAGTGACGCAAGCGCTTGCCTGGCTTGAAACACAAAAATACACCCGCGTGTGTATACTCAGTGATTCAATGAGTATGATCCGGAGGGTTCAGGCAGGTTCAGTGCGAAGACAATGGCTTGAATCATTACAGAAGTCCACTGTGCGTGGAGTCACCTTTATTTTTGTTCCAGGATACGCAGGCGTCGATGGAAATGAAAGAGCTGACAGGTTGGCTGGATCCGCTATCACTACCGACGGTCAGCCTATGGATCATGCTGATATTATCAATGCCCTCAGAGAAATGGGAAGGATAGAGGACTTTGGTGGCAGTGAATCCACATCACTCGCCAGAATGGCAGACTTGGGAATTAAGATCGGCACAGCAAAAAACGAAACGCACACCAGACGACTTGTTAATCAACATAGAACTGGTACTATTAGCCATCGGACGTTGGGGTTCATACTAAGGGGAGTATCTGAGCACCTATGGACATGTCCGGAGTGCAATGAGGATAACCCAACTAACTAACTAACTAACTAACTAACTAACTAACTAACTAACTAACTAACTAACTAACTAACTAACTAACTAACTAACTAACTAACTAACTAACTAACTAACTAACTAACTAATGAGAAATCCGGAGAACAGCATAACTAGAATGTCTTTGCATTGGAACCCACAGGGGCATAGGAATAAAAGAAGGCCCCCTCCCACCTCCCCCCCCCTCCAAAAAATGGGCCTATGCTCTATTGGGGGATAGAAAGGCAGAAGAATATATATATATATATCTGTGTGTTTGTATGTATTTATGTTATTATAGAGACAACAGTGTGAATACAAATGAGTAGATGCATATATACAGTTTCAAACAGAAATAAGTAGACATTTGATTTGTTACAGCGACATACGCCGTCTGTCTGCACAATGCCTTCAGCCGGCTCGGGAGCACTCTGGTTTATGTCTACATTGTCACCTTCGTCATGCATGAGTGGGTCCAATTTCAGCAGGAACTCACAGACGTTAACATTTTGGCTGCTAACTTTTCAGTAAGTAACAAACTGTAATATCTGCGAGTCATAATATAATGTTAAGTCATTGTTTGCATGGTCAGAACCTATATTCTGGACCATCAGAGTCAGAACTCTCTGCATGCTGCTGAAGATGGAGACAGAGTGCTTATGGGAATGTCCTGAGTGTCATAATATCTATTCTGAACTTATAACTCATTCTGACCCACTAGTTCTATTAGTTGTTAGGCGAGATTTCATCGTCGTTGAAGACAGGTCACCCGCTAACTGCTTTATTCCTGTGCCAGTGAAAATGACATAACATAGCTTTCGCTGTACCACTGGTTCTGTACCACTGGTTCTGTGTCACTGGTTTTGTGCCACTGGTTCTGTGCCACTGGTTCTGTGCCACTGGTTCTGTCCCACTGGTTCTGTACCACTGGTTCTGTGCCACTGGTTCTGTGTCACTGGTTCTGTGTCACTGGTTCTGTGCCACTGGTTCTGTGTCACTGGTTCTGTGCCACTGGTTCTGTCCCACTGGTTCTGTACCACTGGTTCTGTACCACTGGTTCTGTACCATTGGTTTTGTACCACTGGTTCTGTACCATTGGTTTTGTACCACTGGTTCTGTGTCACTGGTTCTGTGCCACTGGTTCTGTCCCACTGGTTCTGTACCACTGGTTCTGTACCACTGGTTCTGTACCATTGGTTTTGTACCACTGGTTCTGTACCATTGGTTTTGTACCACTGGTTCTGTGTCACTGGTTCTGTGCCACTGGTTCTGTGCCACTGGTTCTGTCCCACTGGTTCTGTCCCACTGGTTCTGTACCACTGGTTCTGTACCATTGGTTTTGTACCACTGGTTCTGTACCACAGGTTCTGTGCCACTGGTTCTGTATCACTGGTTCTATACTACAGTATGGTTGAGATACACAATCAGTTCACACAGTCATTCAGTGTGTGCCAATCCAGGCAAAACTTTTAACATGCAGTCAATTCACACAAATTAGTAACCCGCACATTCAGTCAGTGTGCTGTGAAAACACTCTCGATCAACAGAATCAATTATCAGTCTCTCAGTCCACACAATGGTTTATCAGGATTCCGGTCTATAGTATCCTTCTACCTAAATTTAATTAATCAAAAAAATCATTCAAAATTATTTATTTAAAAGTCCACAGTACAATTCAACATACATTTGATTGATTAACATAATAATTCTAAATTATTTATTAAAAGTCCACAGTACCATTCCACATTCACTTAATTAATCACCGTAATCATTCCAAATTTTCGTGATACCGAAATCTTTTTTTTTTTTTTAAATCTCTCCCAATCTACAGCAAACCCTGACTGGTGTACAGGAGATGGTTTCTGAAATGAGAAGCTCACAAGCAAAAGCAAGGTAGATTTTATTCATTTCTTCCTTTCACTGCTTACAACAGTGGTTCCCAAAATTTTTAGAGTTGTGACCCCATACAAAGTGACTGGCTACTCCACTTATTGTAAATACGCTTTTTACTGGACGTAAATTTGCCTAGAAAAAACACACAACAGCCCTTGGCTGTTGGGATTGGTTCTGCAACGTCCTGTAAAGGATATGCAACTAATCCACGCTTTTTAATCAGGTTAAAGAAACAAAAACTGCCTGTCGACTCCTGCTGGGTACGTTGAGCATGTGGACACAAAGATCACTGCTGCATCGCAGGAAGAATCAGGTATGGGTCAGACAATGTGCTAGAATGTCAGTATAGACAACAAGTAACAAGTACTAGATAGAACACACATTTAAAAAACCTGATAACAATATATCTGTGTCCATGCCCTGGAACCTACAGGGTAAAGGAAATAAGGGCAAATCTAGAAACACATGGAGAAGAGAACTGGAGAATGAGATGAAATTGGGGAAGCAATGGCAAAAAAAGCAATAGTTTGTTTTTCACATTTTTTTTTAATATGCTTAACATCATCATTTAGCAGGTCCTTTCCATGATATGGCCACAAATATTTCAGTTTCAGGTTTCCTTGATGTTCAGATCTTTTAGAATGTCAGTATTTCTTTTCATCTTGGTTCTTTGATATTCTGATAATTTTTTAAATAGCATGATATGCTATTATGAAATGCTGAAAGCTTAAAAGCCCTTATTCTTTTCTATGATTATTAACCATCTAACTAATAATAAGAAATAAATAGACAGAAATTTTCGTTTTGGATTAGAAGTATTTCTGTTGTTTGCATGCTGTTCTGCTGCTTTTCAGATTCCATGTTATAAAAGATTGGTATCTAGTCGAAGGAAACAACACTTACGTCCAGAACTGGTCCTTGGTTCAGTGTATCCTAATTGCTGCCGCAGCCATCATTCAGGTAAGAAAATGTTATTATGATCATTGACAGGAGGAGTGATCAAACAGGTAAGGACTCAGTATATCATTACTGCTAATGCAGCAGTCATTCAGAAATCCCAGGTGGTTAGCTTTCTTCAGTCTATCTTCGTCATAAATAATTTTCAATAATCCCTTTTCATGCCTTGAAGAAAACTGGGTATATGGTGCTACTCTCATATTTGATATAGACTGTTTGATACTTCAAAATCTGATCAAAATCAAGGAGTACTGGCTCGTGGACAGTATCATTTCTCAGAAATTGTTAAACTATGGCCATATTAAATAACTTATACCTTTAAGAGAAAGAAAACGGCAGCAACAATGGAGACTATGCTTCTGAAAACAAGAGAGAGGCATAGGCAAAAGACATTAAGGATACCCGTGGCATGAAAGTTCACAGGGCATGACAGCTGGGAAGAATGTAGTGACCTAGTAATGGTCTGTGATGAGAACGATATTCTGCAAAAGACCTGCATTCTGATAATAATGATGACAATGATGGGTCGACACTTGATTGGTGATCTGTTCAAAAAAGACTCTCGCCAGCCAATGTTACACCCCATAAATATTTCTTCATGACCATTTTTACTCTTCTTGGAATTAAAAGTTTCCCCTTGAGTAAATCCAGCAGCTTGTGCTTAGGTACTGCAAAACTGTTTAGTGTTTTTTATCTATTTTCTCTAGGGCATATAGATGTGTTGCAAAACAAAAAGACAGACACATTGGCTGGCTCTGCACCACTGGACGGTTAGTTGATGCATTACCAGCTAAATATGGATAAGGTTGTTAGTTACTGGCACCATCGGAAAATTGAACTGTTCTTGATGCCATCATTTCTTATTTTGCATGGTCTTTCCCTTGCTTTGAAGGGAAAGTCAGACACAACTGGCCGGCTCTGCACCACTGGATGGTGAATTGATGCATTGCCAGCTAAATGTGGTTAAGGTTGTTAGTTACTGGTACCATCAGAAAATGGAACTGTTCTTTATGACATCATTCCTTATCCTTGTTCTGTGTCAGCTCAGCTCTCTGTATGACAGCTGGTACCAGGGTATTCTCATCAGACGGCTGACCACCTCATCCGTTGTTCATTAATGAATTAAATCTTAAAGTACACAGATAATTCAAAAAGACATTAATTCTGCTCTGTTTCCATCTGCAGGTTTACTCCGTGCGCAGATTGTTTCGATCGTCAAATGTGACTCCAACCACAGCAAAGCCAAGAGCATGATATTTATTATTCCATTATCAAAACAAAATGACAAGTTTATATTTTTATGTTTTCCATTGTTATGCCATGACTTCCATTACGCAACAATGCAGCATTTATTATCTCAACTTTAAGAGCAGTTCTGTTCAAACGCTCCCTGCCTTTGTAAGTCACATCTTCTATTATTATTGCATCATATGGATTTCTTGTTTAGTTCCATACAGCTTCTAGTCTTGATTTATGGCAAGTAGAGTGGAGTAGCTTGGCTACCAGGTCAGCACAGCCTTGAATGGGTACCAGGTGCAGTCCTGGGAAGTAAAGGCAGCCAGTGTGATGCTGGCCACATCACCCACCGAGTGCCGGTTGGTCTGTAAAAATAATAGGTCTAGTCCTATATGCCCAATATGCCGAAAGGTGTGGAAAAGGGTCCTTTACTTACTTTTAATTATAATGGAGTAGGCACAGTACAGGTAAATAATTTCATACAGCATCAAAGAATCAAATGGTTTGGTCATCTAATCAGAATGGAACAAAATCAGTCAGCAGCCAGAGTGTACTATATGAGAACAGCAGGCTACAGGGCAAGAGGCTGACCAGTAAAAAAATGGGTGGATGGAGTAAAAGAGACATTACAGAAACGCAATTTAATGTCAACACAAGCTATGTACCTAGCAAAAGACAGAAAGAAGAAAGTCTTGAGTCCCAATGTAGATAAGGTGTTGGACACATTTTTCAACCAAAGGCAACAACAACAACAACAACAAACAGCATTCAAAAATCGCCATTAACCTCCCTCTCCTGGATCTACACACTGGGTAATGCAGACGTAAAAGGAAATGAGGAAGTGGACCAATTGGCAAGCATTGCACTAAGGCATGTAGAAAGAAGCATGGACAGAGCAGATTTCGTCAACGCTGTACGGACTGGGCTAGTGGATAATGAGGAATCCCTGACACTAACATAATTGCGTGACATGGGAGTAAAGCATGGTGAAGCACATCTATGCCGTCTTCAAGGCCAAGATAGGAGACAATATAACCAGGTTCTCATGGGAATAATTAGTAGAAGTACTTTGGAGTGGCTGCTGCATCAGAGGACTGAGCACGCATGAGAATTCCCAATGTGCAGTAATGTAGATTGTGACAACATAACAACAAAAAACACTAAACTACACAATACGTAGTGACTGTTCTAACGATATGGCCATAAATCCCCAGGCTCAAGATCCCTTTGCCCTACACAACTATCAAAAGTGGTAAACACGGATAGTCAAGACAGGCTGTTTTATTTTAAATATTGTTCTTAGTTCCTATAGAACTTTGGTATTCAGTTAGCTTGCTTAGTTCAGTGGATCCCAAATCTGCAGGCTATTTATTTTAAACTTTCTACCATGGACTCCAGTACTTTTTTATTAGTCACACTAAAGAACTTATTATAATTTATAAATATTAAAATCGCTGAAGAGAGGAAAAAGAGGGTGGTTGCACTATGAAGTTGAGGTTTTTTCTTTGTAAATGATAACATGATTTCTTTAAATTTGTTCAGCACACTGCCAAATGGGAAAGCCAGGGTTAGACTGTATGTACGCCATGGTAAATCAGAGACACCAGGCTGCCTGTGTGTGTGTTCATTAAATCCCTCATGTCTTGACTTGGTGCAAAGAATCATGATCTGTCCCTGCTGACTTAGAGATGTAGGTACACTAACTATTACTAGCTCCCATAGGGATAACGCTCATACAGCTTGTTGTAGATAGTTTTTGAAATCTCAGCAAAATGGAATTTAACACTCTCACCCCAGGAACAAAAAAAGAAAGGTCATGACCCCACAGGAATTTCTGAAAAAAATATTTTAAAAAGCACCCCCAAAAAAAAAACATTTATACAAGTCGCTAATAAATTAATTACCAATTTATTTTTCTACTTTTGTCTTTTTCAAAGTAAATAAATGATATGTTAAGGTGTAATCAGTAGACATGAACAGTGTGAACCAATATATGGAAAACACTCATCGCTGCCTTAAAACAAATGTACCAGATGACTCTTGCCATGGCTCTGTGACCTTTATCACTGAGACTTACAGGAAAATTTGACATCCCTTGGCTTTAATAAAAGCCATTTTTAATTAATGTATTCATATCTTGACCTATTATGTTTACATCAGCACAGGTGTGAAAAACAACCAATAGAATTAGCTATGCATCTCGTAAGCAGGTCCTCATAGACAAGTAAAAAAAAAAGTCATATTTATGGCGAATAGGACCCAACGGGAAGTGTCGGTTTTATGTCAGCTTCAGAGGAAAGGGTTAACTCTTAAATCTGAGGCTGTAACATTGAATACAAGAACAGTACTGGAATTTCACATCATTGAAGAGGCATGTTAGGATCTTTCAGGATCTATTTTATTCTTCAGCCAAACATTTTAAATGCAGATGATGTATGTTATGATTTAAGCAGTTGTTTTTTTTTTTTTGGTGGGGGGAAGGGGGGGGGGCTGTAAACATTTGAACTCGTGTGTTCTACTATTTCTCAAGTCATTTTACTGATTTCCTATTTTTAAACTCTATGATTATATTTACAGTCTCTTATTCCATTGCTCTTGTTTCATTCTTGTCTAACCGACATTGTCTCGTGATATCTATGTTTATTGTGAGATGTGGGGTTGATTTGTCAAACATAAATTAGCAATTTCAAGTTTCAGCAAGCCAATGTCATCATTGGTAGACATAGTAGCACAGTGGTTTGCCTCAGGTGTCTCAGGTTCAAAACTGCATACTAATGGCCCTTGACACACAGGTTGACCCAGTCCAGAATGGGAACCATACTGTACCTGGGAAGTAAAAGCGACCAGTATAATGCTGAACCCATCCAGTGTGGTTTATTGGCCGATAAGTCTTATTAAAATATGTTCAAGCACCATCTGCCCAATATGTATCATTGTATATATAAAATATTGTAATTACAAAAACGGTTTATTAACCTGACAGTGAATCAGAATAACAAATATAGTTTCTTCTAATCTCTAACCTTGTTGTGCCTCAACAGTTTTAGTTGATTACATTTTACTACATACCTGATTTTTTTTTTTTTTTTTTTTGGGGTACTGTTTTAGAAGATAATTGTATGAAAAATATATTTTACCAGCGACATTAAGTTTAATGGCCTTCTGGAGAGAAAAAACACCTGTTTTTTTTAAATATTTTGGTGTGTGATGCAAATGCTTGCAATAACTTACTAATTTTAAGTCTGGCATGATTGCTTCACAATTTGTTGCAAGGGAGATTTGTTGTAAACTTTAATTTTATGAGACATAACTGTGTTCATGTATTCTGTCAGAGAAAATCGCTTTGAAAATATCATTATGTTGGGTAACAGTATAATTATATATCATATAGTTATAAATGTTATATATGGAGGTATTAGAGAGTTGAACCCTATAGGAACTCTTTCTTATACAGAGGAAAATTATGTATATGGTGTCAGGCTAATATTTTTAAATCAACTGACATTAAATATTGTTAATATCACAGCGACCAATTTTACTTTCTAAGAAAGTTGAATGGTGATGACAGTTTAAAGCTTCTCTGCCTTAAAGCTAAGACCCGATCAATCAAAACCACTAAGAGGGAGAACTGAACCAGCAAACTGTTTCATGGCAAAAAGCATTTCACAGAATTTGTTTTGGTTTATTTAATCAAAAGTAACAAAATTGTTTTCCTTTTAAAATTATGTTAATATCCTATATTTGCAAGCATTTGTCAAATACAAATGAGTTGTTTAATATGAGGTATTTAATATCTCATTTGTTTTTAAACAGACAATGTACTGTATACAGTAGAAGAGTTTCTCACCATGATGAATTTTAATTGTCTGCAGTTCTGTGGCTTAGAAGTTAGTGAATTCATTTCACAATCACTGACATACAAGGTTCAATTTCCATGGCTGACAGTAAAAAAAATTGTGGCATTCAAATGGTGGTGTGAGAATCCCACCTTGGATGAGGTTGGGGCCTCAGCACATAATATTCCTATACCCATACATTGTATGCAAACAGGAGACAGCATACAGTTATAACTTACTCATTATTTGCAATTGAACAGTTTACAGAACAAGTCAGAAAACATCTGCCTGAGAGGCAAGGAGCCAACAATCAGCACACAAATAAATCAAATCTGTAAAACGTACATGCACACAAAACTTAGGTTCTGCAACAAGATAAAGTCTAGAAGTGGATAAATAACCAGAACTTGTTGACGATGTTTACAGCCAATGAATATGAAGAAGAATGAAGAAAAAGAAGATCGTACAAATGCTTGTCATGTCACTATTTTACATTCCCCTAATTTGAAACTATAGCATCTTTTTCTGCTGTTATCTTGTGAGATCAAAAGCGTAATTTCTGAACTTGAAAAAAAATTAACTAACTGCATCTTCTGTCTCCGCCCTTAATAGAGCAGTTGGTACACACTGTTTTGTTTTACAGCTCGGCTGTGATATTTTCATCCTTCAACCCAACACATCCAGTTCCAGCAACTGATTCAGTCATCTTTTACAACATGCTTGTTAAGAAGCCATGGATCCCTTCCCCCCAAATGAAACTCCACAACCCACAAGGGGGAACCAACTCACAAAACAGTATTTCCAGCGTGTGTGATTTTGGTACACAACATACATTTAGAACAATGGATTTCAACCTGACCCCAAGAAAGTTTTAAAGGGAGGGTCAAGCAGTTTTGAAATTGAGGGCATTTATACTTGTAATAATAATCTGTTACCCTAAATCTTTTCTTCCACTTTGATTATATATAAAATATTTTGTTTTCAAACTATTCATGAAACAAAAAGTCAAGGATGTTATGTTATTTGACATTGTGATGTATGTGGATATTTTTTCTGCAGGTTATTGTTAATAGTGCTTGGTGCCTTGGATGTGTATTTTTGTCCTCCTTTTTTCTCATAACTTTTTGCGGTGGGGGCCTGAAAAAAAGTTGAGAACCACTGATTTAGATCCTCACATACACG